TACATATACACATTATATATATATATATATATAATATATATATATATATATATACATATACGTATACATATATACATGTCTATACATATACATATATACATATACACATTATACTATATATATACATATACACATTATATATATATATATACATATATATATATATATATATATATATATATATATATATATATATATATATATATATATATATATATATATATATACATATATATAGCTGACTTGGTGTTTGTTTTCTGCATTTGAATTGCAATTCTTTGCAATATTGAATGCTGCAATGAGAATAAATCTTTGATGCACTGTGCAGCCCTACCTCATATCCTGTTAAATGTTTTTAGTTTGTGTGACATGCAAAGGATACTCTTGCAAAACTGCATTGACGTCTAGTGAAATATAGTCCATTAAGTCCCCTGACTGGTGTTGCAATTAGACATATAAACAAGAACAGACCCATCAGTCAAACGCACTGAAACTAACTGCAATCACAGTGAATCTGCCTCTAAGAAAAAAAACAACATTGCAAAACAGATTATTTATTCATAGGCTTCTTTTCAAAAATCTTCCTGTTATCACTGTTAAAAACTGGTTTCATTTTGTTGAAAGTTTGCAGCCTTGTGTTCGGTTTTTTACAGAAGTATTTGAACATTGTGTCACATTATGAAAAAGCAAAGCAGCGCTGCGATTGCACAGCTAGGGTTTGCAAAGACTGGCAGCTCCTCCTTCACTGATTTTCCTCTCAGAACCTGGAATCAGCAAAGATGGCCTGCATCCCCAGCCAGTCCCACGCTGCCTATCTGCCAGAGCAGCTTGTGGGGGGGAGTTTCATTCACAGACAGCCTCTGCGTTTCATCTGGGCTCCGCTATAGAGTCATTACAGATGCAAATGCTGCTTAAAAGAGAAAGAGAGGTGCACAACCTGGAGAGGAGCTGCACTGCCAGCAGGAGGGTCATTGTTCCCCGGAGGCTGTGCTTCTTCCGTGCAGTGACATGGCACAGGCTGCATTTGGAGAATCTCCAGAGTCAACAGCTCTATCTGTAACTAAGGAATGTGGAGCATCCTCAGAGCAAAGCCATAGATTTCTCTTCAAATGGAATTTATAATAATTTAGATGAAAAACACACAGATGTCTCCTGAACTAGAAGAAGTGTCTTCAGATGTGCTTGACAAATGGTCATTCTGTCTGACAGTTGCATCAAAAATGGACTCGGTTCATGGTGCACTCCATTTTTCGGCAAACAGGAGTGGAATTTTCCACCAGAGATGACCTGTGCAATTTCACTCCATTTCCTAATCGGAGTCCTAATTAGATACCGTTGTTGAATTTTTTTTTGTATGCACAGCCCATAGCTGATGCTGCACCAGGCTTTGATATCAAAAGTGGTTTCCATGGAGATTCTAATGTACTCTCACAAATAGTGCTTCCCCATATGGCCGAGCTTCCAGTGTTACATACTGTGCATGAGGGCTCAAAGCGATGAAGCGCTGACTGAGGAGGAAATTTAGAATTCCTCCAGAAATCAAGGCTTCGTCTGCATTCTGGTGCGGCAGCGTGAAAAGTTAAAATCCTGACGCTGAATGCACATGACATCGGAAACCACAGAGGCCGTGGGTAATCTGGGGACAACCTCTTTCATCGGGGCTAAATAAAAAGCTGACATTATTGCTCCTTTTCCAGCAACAGCTCCTTCTTTGTCTTGGCTGTTGCCTCGCCACTAATCACGGCTGGGCAGAGCACAGTGAAAAAATACAAATATAAGGGGGAGAAAATCCCAGAGAAAGCAATGCAGCAAAAAATCCAGCTTGGAAAGCCCCTCCCTGTGTTTGCCTCTGAGTGAACACACAGCAAGTGCGGACACCAACTTCTTATCCGTGATCAACAAATGTTCAGATCAAACGCAGCTTATTTACAAACCATCCCAATAAAAGTGACCAGGAAAGGCTCAAAAACGCTCATCCTGAGTGATGCCGGCGAGCCTGGAGCATCTGGAGCAAGTCATCACACATCAATCTTACAGCGACCACATTATATGTCTCTGAGTGTGTGTGCATGTGTGTGTGTGTGTGTGTGTGTGTGCCCTCACAGGAACAACTGACCTGTATCCACTGGCAGAGAGTGACTCCTTTCACCTCTTCTCACAGTAGCACAGCCTCACAGTCACAAATGTGGTTATTCAAAAGAGCCGAAACGTGATGAATGAAGAGATTCTCATTTCTTTCTCTTCTCTGTTTCAGTCCACTGACTTGTAGCGACCCCTGAGCTCCGCGGCCATGAGAAAGAAAGAAGTGTGCAGGAGAGTGAGAGGGAAGACTGGTAATTTTCCAGCTCTGGCTGCACTGTCGGTAACATGTGCTTTATTGTTGCGGGACGACAGTCTTTCTCACTTTAACTCCCTCTCTGTCACTGTGTTGCACTCTTCTTCTCTTTCTATCTTTGGCCACACAAAGGCTCATTAGCTGCAAGCCGGCTGAAAGGCAGGAGTCTGACTGGAGCAGAGCAGAGGCAGCCTGTGAGATCACATGGGTGGGATGTCTGAGAGAGAGAGAGAGTCAGGCATGCTACTGCCGTCTGCAGATATTTTTACCAACATGGGGAGGGAGAGGAGGAGGGAAAAGAAGGGAGGGGTACGGGGGGGTCGGAGAAACAAAATGTTAGAGGAACAGATGAAGAGAGGTGTGGGAAAACGGGGCAGAAATGCACAGATGAGAGGATTTAAAAGACGAATGGAAAAGGGAAGGAGTGGAAAAGAAATGCCAAGCACAACACCACAGAGATGACTGGGAGGGGGGTGGGGGTTCACCACAAAGAAAACAAACAAGGGAAACTGAATGTAAAAAATTCTAATTTAACTCATCGCTGCATGCCATTCGTTAAAAAAAATATTTGCAAAGTGACATCAGTAAGGCAAACCGCATCGCGGGGAAAGTTTTCTGCTAAAATGCTGTTGGAGTTTGACAAACCCACATAAAGCACCTCATCCACAGGAAATAAGATTTGTCTGCACTGAAACGCATGAGCTCCTGATGCTTCCTATGCCAGGAAGTTATGCGATGGAGTTAGTGGGGCCTCATCTTATGCAGCCAAACAGCCACAAGCCCATTCTTACACTCCGTAGGATCATATGTCAACATAAAAGGCTCAGCACTTCCTCTTAGGATCGCTTTAAGCAGGACCTTTTGTTTCCCTGACAGCTAATGCAGCGTCCAGTCATTAAAAACAATCTGCAGTTTCTGAGCACACAGGCAGCACACGGAACAGTGCAAAGCAGCAGAAAATAGAGGCAATTTCTACAGTTTATTCCAGGAAAGGATATTTTAATACCACTGTTTAAAGATCCTGCTTTTGCCTTTTAAAGGAGGCGTGATCTTTGGTGAGAAAAGTCATCAATATCTGAGCGGATTCGTTGTTTCTTTAATTCAGCCGCAGGATAACTATTTGCTCTTGGTTCTCTCGGTGCACTTCCCCATCCACGTTTCCTCAAACCACCTCTGTCTCGTAATCCTTTCAACGTCACCGAGCCGATGAGTCATATTAGAAACATAAGAGTGCCTCCATTAGACCTTTCAAATGCAGCTTTAAGCAGTCAGCGCTGCAACAGTCTGGCAAAGCTCACAGCATTAGGCCAGTGGTGCCCCTAGAATTTTTTCTGGGGGGGCGAGTGAAAATTGTAGGGTGGCATATCAACGTGGTCCTTGTGGTAACTAGGGCTCAAACACAAGACGCATCCAACACTTTACCTCAAATTTCAGAAACTAAAACATTTCAGTCATTTCAAGTTAGATTTTATAGCAACATTAATTTATTCATCCGCTTATTCACCTGTTGCTGTCTTATACTTCCGTTTGAAAACGCTGAGCAGCAGCATCGTATATATGTTTCATAATGATTTATGTATTTACTGATTATTTATTGGGTTTTTACATTTATGCAATGAATAAAGAAGACGAATGTGTGGTTTGTGTGAACCATAGACTGACCCTGCACTAGGTTTTTGAAGAGCTGAGGGGGTGTCCATGCAGAGGGGTTGGTCTCGGGGGACATCTTAGTAGCAGCAGTTGACTAAAAAGTAAAACACTTCAGTATTTATTCAGAGACTTAAATCTGGCGATCACAATTGGAAAACTTGCAAACAGAAAGCCGTGAGGAAGAGTACAGCCTGTACTCTGAACGAGCTCGCTGAGCCTGTAAAGCTCACTGCATCGAAATCAGAGTGACCATGGAACGAGCTCAGCACAAAGGGAGCAGGGAACAAATGCAAGTGCTGCACAGACACAATGAAAGCATGCTCTAATGTCATTCACAATTTCCTAATTTCTAATAATCAAAACTGGCTTTTATTCATTTCCTCACACAAGCTTGATGTAATGGTCACATGCTACTGTTACTAAACTATATCTATTTTAAATCGGAGTGCTGCTCTCTCCACTCGAACATTTTCTGTAAAAACCAGTGTCTTACTGACAGGTGAGCAGCAGTGATTCATACCCTCTGGATTTAATAATTACCCTGGCAAATCGTGAAAAGCTAAGTTCCTACATTTCAAGCAATTTCTAACCTAAATTACATCATTGTGCATAAAAAAACACCACGAATCCCAGATTTACGGTGGATTTTTTTTTACTTTTCTCCAAAACTACAAGGAAGATTTACTACAATAAAATCACCTTTAATGCTTCTGTATGCTGTTTGCTGTTCTTATCATGTTCTCTAGAACCTTTGGCCATATTTATTAATAAACCGTCTTATGTCGGCATTCCTTTAAGGATTTACTTCAAACATATACGCTACCCTCTTACATAAAAATTCAACACGTGAGCTGGGGTGGTGGCATTTGTTACACCATCGCACCAGCAACGGTGACCTATATTTGCTCTGACTTCAAGAGGCTCCCTCATCCGAAAGAAGGAAATTGAAGACAGTGAGCAAAAATAAACTAAGAAAGGTTCAGAAATGATCATATTTTACGCGTGAAGCTGCTGCCTAATTGAGGTCATTTTCAAGATGTAGCAAATTCGAAGTACACTGAAAAAATATGACATTGTCAAGCAGAGTTTATTTTCTATTAGGGCAAACAAGAGAGTTGGCTTTGCCAGATCTTTCAGATAACATTACTGAAACTGGGCCAGAGAGTGCATGTGTCGGGGTAAAATTCAACAGTTGAATGCTACTTAAGCGGCAGAGAAGGAAACTGGAATGGAACAGCTCTGAGTCACTGCACCCACCTTGTTTATCACCTTCATTACAGTCCATCCACTCGGTGCAGAACATGACAATCTCACAGTATGTTCAAATATCATAAAGTCCAGATGGGAGATTTTATTTAATCCTCTGCACTGAGTCATGCTAAAAGCAAGTGCACCTTATCCAGCTCCAAGGACATTTAATTTTATCCTTACCTTAACAACGGGTAATTTTTACTGAAGTCTGCACTTTGAAAGACTCATAGCAACACATCATTCTTTGTATCCTTCAGATATTCCGCATGCATGCTAGGTGCTCTGTCCTTTTTTATGACATGGTTTGGTTCAAATTTAATCTAAATGAGAGATGTCCTCACATCTGAATCTAGACACTTTGGTGCAGAGAGACGTTCCTTCTGAGATCCTGCGAAGCCAGCACAAATCATTGTCTTTCCACCCCCATGCTGAAAGCAGCAATCTGGACTTTTCCCTTTTTCAAGAATTAGGCATGATTTTTTTTTTAGAAATTCGTTCAAGTGAAAGTCTGACCCTGTTCTCGGATATAATGTAGACGATACTTCCATTTTTTTTGCTAAGCCCACTTCCTGTCCCATACAGCTCCATGCAATTTGAATTGAGTGCCGCTCTGCATTAGCCACTAGAGTTAGACGTTCAGTTACATAAAGCTGACAAGCAAAGAGAGAGAGAGAGAGAGAGAGAGAGAGAGAGAGAGAGAGAGAGAGTGTGTGTGTGTGTGTGTTTATCCGGAAGTACCTGGACTGATGCAGAGTTGGCAACATTTTTTTTATAGACAAGTAATTCTTTAAAATATATTCCCATAAATAAACAGCACCACATGATAATAATAAATAAAGCAACATGTTTAAGATCTGTTGGCCGGCTAGAGGTGCATGCTCATTAATGAGAGGTGTTGTTTCCAGCAGGTAGTGGGGCTTAAGGTGCAATACATTTTTCTGCCTCCAGATGGTGCCCTCTAAAAAAAACTCTGGACTTCTGCTTTAACAGTAGTTCCATTTCACATCAGCTTCACTTTTTAAGGCTAGTTGCCAGTGTGTTTATCCCACACGTCCGCACAGGGCAGTGCTAAACCCACTGGTGACTAGCCTTAAAAGACTTAGGCCCTGTCCACACGTAGCCGGGGATCTGCCAAAACGTAGATATTTTTCTACGTTTTGGCCTGTCATCCACACAAAAACTGAGTTTTTTCACACGAAAACGGATCTTTTTAAAAACTCCGGCCAAAGTGAAGATCTGCGTTTTCTCCGTTTTGGGTGTCTGCGTGTGGACAGACAAAACTGGAGTTTTAAGGTCCGCAACGTCACTTTCCGTGACAAAAAAATGCTGACATCACGTGTGCGACCTGTGTTTACACTAGCCGACAGCATGATGCCCTCAAAGCTGCGCTCGCTTTATCAATTGTCCAAGCGCTTTTTGCTTGTTTGTTTTTGCAAGAGGAATTACTGCTCCTTGCGGAAGACCACAGACGAAGGATGAGGTTAAGAACGGGGGAAGTACTGCCACCTACAGGTCTGGCATGTCCTAAACAACGTATTTATCCGGGTACGTGTGGACAGAGTTATTTTTTTAAACGAGGTGGTGTGGATGCAAGTTTTTGGAGGGGCGGATATTCGTTTTCAAAAAACCCCGGCTACGTGTAGACTAGGCCTCAGAATACTCATAATCTGGGCTAATTTAACAAATGTTTTGTGCTGGTGTGCTGTTTATTCTGAACGTTTTCACTTTAATCAGCTCGATAATGTAGCTCTGAAAGTGGAAAGGTTTGTTTAGTTGCAAACCTACGGGGTGTTGCCACTTTCATTCCAAACAAACCAAAGTTTACATATTTATACCATGAACTTTGACATTTAACACACACACTGGGTCCTGCAAAGTCTGAGATGAAGCTTTTGTACATTTCCTCTGAGCACAATGCAGTCTGACCTGCGGCAAAACTTCACAATTTAAATTTTTTCTCACTCATGAATACATCTTTAAACCGTAGAGCGATGGAATCCAAATTGTTCTCAGAAAATCAATAATCCTGACACTTGGCGTTGTGTTAAAGCACATTAGAACGCTCCAGGTCGGACATCAACTGCCTTTGATTGTTAAAAGTTTCATCAACAGGCTCTTTGATTAGAAAAAGTGGCCTGAGGACAAATCATGCTAAAAACAAAAAATCTCCAGCAAAGTCCAAGAAAGACCCGATATTTTCTATTAAATCTACCCGTGAGATGGATTGTTTTGTGGGATTTGGAAATAGAAACTGAATCATTTTAAAGTCTTTCTAAGCTCTGAAGAGAGTTCTCATAATAAAAAGCTTTGCGTGGGCTGTTTGTGACACTCACTGCTGTTTCGTTGGGTAATCTAGGTGCACAGTACCTGTCTAGCAGGAAAAAGCAGAGATCCAAAAGTAAACAATGGAAAAAAGGTTTGGAAAGCTGAGAACCCAAGGACACAGACTGCTGAAAACTGGACTCACGTTCAACGTAAAGACAGAAATCTGATGAGATTCTGAAGTAATTCCTCATTCATTGTTTTTGCAATATTTGCACTAATATGAAAAAAAGTCTTACGCCTTTTTTTTTTTTGGTTAATCTGAGCCAAAAAATTCTAATGTAGATTAAACACCCCGTAAAGCCTGCTGCCCTCGATGTTCAGTCCATTTCTTCTGCTGCTTAACCAAACCTTTCCCGTCTCCTCTACCACCTCCTGATGAGCTCCAGCAAACATGAAATGCATCGGCTCAAAGGCCAGCTGCATCTCTCGGCTCCTATTTCAGGTCTTTGCTGGACTTGTTTTTTCTATCCAGTTTTCTCAAAACATAACTTCAGAAGGGCTTTCGGTATAAAATATTTTTTTTCCTGGCCTCCCACTTCTTCTTTTGTCCAGTTTCTGCCTTTTTCATATGAACAAACAGCCCGTCGTGCTGAGATATGCCAGCTATTCATCGAAACGCTCTTATGGTGCAAAGAGATTTGATTTGTTGCTTGTTTTTTTGTTGTTGTAGAGTTATATGAAAGAAGCAGGAACAAAAATATGCATTTTCATTAGGGATGCACCGATGGATCGGCATTTGATCGTAATCGGCCGATAGCGCCCCTATCGGTTTTGATCGGAATTTTCAAAATAGATCAAAGCAGACCAATCAGGTAGGGTTGTCACGGTAACCAATGTAGCGGTAAACCCCGGTAAAAAAAAAGTTGACAATAATAATAACCGTCTTGTTTTTTAAAAAACTATATTATCTTGGTGGGTTTACCGTGGCTGCGGTGTAGGCGCGGTGACCCTTACCAGCCACCGTATCATCTGCTGAAGTTGCCGGCGGCACATGCGCACTTTGTTGTTTACAACCAAAACTTTCTTGAAGCTAAAGCTGAAATAATGGCCAAAGGAGGAGACGGCAGCGCTCAGGAGGACATTTATTATCCCTCAAAGAAGACAAAGTCGGAAGTACGGGCATATTTTAGATATTTGAAGAATGCCGAGGGAGTTTATAGAAGACGGCTATCCTGTTTGCAGCACGTACAGAAAAAGTGTCTGTGAAAGGCAGCAACGCTTCAAATCTCATAACAAATCTGCGTGACCATCACCCACAACTCTACAGTAAACGCAAGGCAAGCTAACGTTAGCGTCTTAGCTAAAATGCATGATCCGAGGATTTGGGTTGAGGGAGAATGCAACGAGTCGCTATATAAAGCAGCCGCAGCGCCGCTACCTGCATATAAACCGTGTCGCGGACACCGCCATATTGAAATGACGCTATGCATTACGGGGCTCCCAGGGGCAGATAAGAGTTGGTCTCTCTCTGAGAATAATTATGAATTTAACAATGATTACTGCCTGATGACATTTTCCCACATCTGCAAAGCTCACCGGAAGGACACAAACCGAGGACAATAATTTCCTGATGTAGGGTTTATTACTCAAGTAAAGGTAAAAAAAGTATCTGATTAGAAGGCTACTTGAGTACTGAGTATCATCTGATCTAATATTTTTAAAATGATGACATCAAACAGACATAAAATAAGAAGTTATGGGCAAATATTGGTATTTTAAAGACTAAAGGGAAAAAATGTAAACAAATAAACAACATTTAGGCAAAATTTAGACACAAAGTGAGGACAATATTTCCTGACATACAGGGTTTATTTAATTGTGTGAAAATGTAGCACGTTTAAAAAAAATACCGCGATAATACCGAAAACCGTGGTAATTTTGGTCACAATAACCGTGAGGTTAAATTTTCACACTGTGACAACCCTAATACAGACCATTTTAGATTAGGTTACATTTCCTTTATTCCCAGATTATGTAGTTTGTAGCACTCATTATAATGTTGTAGAAAATTTCTGGCCAATCCACGTGATCGGTATCGGTGATCGTATCGGTGATCAGCATTCTTTGATATCGGTATCGGTGATCGGCAGCAAAAAACCTGATCGGTGCATCCCTAATTTTCATAAGAGGGGGAAACAAATGTAACTTGAAACTGAAGGAAAATTGGCAAACTTAAAAAGCATTACACCAAAAACTTGCATTTCTAAACAAAAGACTGATAAATTGCCCAAGACTTCTACACATACTGTTTGCACATTAAGAAGCAACCTGTGCCTGTGTGGGGGAAGGGCGGAGGACATAAGGACTGGTATAAATTGTAGAAATGGTATTTTCTTTGTCCTTTCTGCTTCTAAACGCCGGTGTCATTCAAGCTGGTCACATCACACGGTGTTTCCAGAGTGATGCAGCACACCCCTCCCAGATAGCCTTTACTGTATATTCATTTTTTTCTTACTTTTTAACATGATTTTTCTCAAACTAACAGAATAACAGAGGATGCATTCCAGTAAACCCAAGTGTTGCGAGCACAAAGAAAAACCCCGCAACCACAAAAGCTGCTCATCCACACCGCCGGTATGAGGTTGTGCGTTGGACTCATCCATCAGGAGTGTCACACTCGGCCGTAAACGGCAAAGCGAAATAGAGAGAGAGAGAGAGACGAGGGGTAGAAGCAGAGAGAGAGAGAGAGAGTGAGCAGAGGGTCTCAGCTGGACTCCCCTGAGGAAAGGCTGTGGCCTGGATGATTATAGAGCTGCAGATGATGTCAGAGGACTCCGTTTAGTAAAAAAGAATGCATCTTTTTTTTTAAATGTTTGGTTTAAAAGCTACGCATGAAAAGGCCACTGAGGTCAGGGGTGCTGTCAGCTCTAATGTGTTCGTGCAGTCGTCACGTTTACGGTTAACTTAATAAAACATTCCTCTTCTGTCTCAGGAGGACGCAGATGCAGCAAATATGAAAGCAGTGAGTGATTAAGATCAAATAGAGATCTTATAAAGAGCGTTTTCTACAAAAGGCAGACGCAAGAATATAAAAAATCTATTTACAAACCATTTGTTGCTATTGTTCATTGCATAGGCGAGAGAGTGTTTGCAGGCAGACACTCATTATATAAATGAGGATATGCAAACGTGAGAAAAAAAATCTCAATTAAACAAAGAAATCCATTGAAGGAAACGCTGCGACGCTCATGGATTTATGCAAATGAGCTTTCACATGCACGCTGTACATTTGTTAACTTGCACTTGCCTGAGGCTGCAGACAGTTCCGCTCCACACACACATGAAAGGGAGGAGGGGGCAGGGTGTGGGGGTGGAGGGGGAGTGCAGACCCCCCCCCCCCCCCCCCCCGGTTCCACACTCAGCACACATATGAGCTGCAGGCTGGTGAAGCCTGCTGGAGCCTCTCCTCTGATTGATCTTCTCTTTCTCATCTTACAACAATAAAAGAAGTGCAGCTCCTGATTAACCAGGAAGAAGGCACTCGTGTGTTACAGCATCAGCGCCGCTAACATCTCATCAAATAATTAAGAGTCAAAGGTAGCCACCAGTCCTTCTGGAAATTAACAGCCTGGTTGCAAAGCCCTGAGCTGCAGAGCTTCCACACTTATGAGTTTCCTTTCAGTCGTTCACATCAAACAACACCGGCGGCGTTTTTAATGACAGGTGCCTCAACTGACGCGTAATCTTTACGCGGCGTTTCCTTCGACATCTCAGCCGCCTGCGTTGTTACAAGCAGTGATCAAAATCCACAACAGCTGACAAGCAGGCAAAGGCAGACGCTCGGGTTCAGACTGATGTCTTGATTTGCTGTAATTCGAGTCTCACGCTGCTGAGGCGTAATCAGCTCCTCTCGCCCTCACGTCAATCACAACGCACACCTAAATTATTCATAGCTCAGTAATTTATTTATGACGAGATTTTCCCATGCCACCCGAAAGTTAGGAATAACCGACTCGCTGGCAGAAACAGAGATGCCAAAGAGTTTCAAACGAAGACGGGGCTCTGCTTTCATCTTTCACACGGGCTGAGGGAATCTGTGAGGTGTGGAGCTTCAACTCTGCAGACACGTCCTATTTAAAATAAATAATTAATAAATAAATAATTCTATAAAAATAAATATTGTACATATATCACAAGAATCTGGCAATATGATACCAAATACAGGGGAGACGATACAATCATATGTTGTGATAACTGATATTTGCAGTTTGCATAACTGCATTTAACTAGAAAACTCAGCTAGCCAGACGCTTCTACACATCAAGTGTTATCGGGAGATCTCGTTTTTCTATCAGAAGAAATGCAGTAACAACTGCTGCCACCTAGTGCTGGGAGTTCTAATTGCACCACACAACAGAAATACAGTAAATGTTTGCATGTAAATTCGGAATAACATGATCGACACACTGCTTTCAAATATTGATTCAGTATCATAACACGAAGTATTGTGATATTTCAGTGAATAAATATTTTGTAACATGCCTAAAGCTTGGTTTATGCTTGACGCATTCACTTTCCGCTTGGTGATCCGACTCGCGGCCGGAACGCGCTTCACAACTTGCAGCGTTTATGGTTAATGCGGCTTGTCTCTGCGGTGAGCCAATATTCTCCCAAACTGTAGGGGGCAGCATGGAGCTCTACGGCATGCATCCAACACTACACCATAGTAGAAGTAAAAATTACTGTTGTTTACAACATGGCATTACAGCATTTTTTACAGCGTCCTCGTCTTTTCCGACAGTGTGAGCTATTTCTCTCCAAGAATTATTAACAACATGTTGATCATGGTGATCTTTGAGAGCTGAATCATACAAATGTCTGTATTTACGAACCTCTGCCGTACTAGTTCTTGCCAGTCTGCCATGTTTTTCTGCGTCCGACCGTCTGCGTGGTTAGAAATTTTCCTAGGTGTGCGTTGCGGAAATTTTGCGCCGTGCGGAGGCTAGGTGGAGGGACGTGGTTGTTAAAATGGCGCAATTTCGGCGCGCGGAGCCGTGTGGACCTCGTGGACGCGTCAAGCATAAACCAACCTTAATGTGTGTGTGTGTGTGTGTGTGTGTGTGTGTGTGTGTGTTTGTGTGTGTGTGAGAGAGAGAGCATGCGTGTGTGAGTGTGTGTGTAACACCAGTATTATGTAGTGAACTTGATTTTATTTCACATGGAAACTGTTCATACTTATCTAAACTAAGTTAAAGGTAAAGTAGGCCAGATCTGCGTATGGACACATTTCATTATGAACTTAAGCCGTGTGAAAACTGTTCCGGATAACAGATTATGTTAAATTTCATTCAGACGCTTTCAAATTTCTATGATTCTAATGAAGTCTGATGCAAAAATTAAAGACCGTGGAGAACTGTGTTGTAGATTATTTAAGACTGAAGACATCCTTAAGAGTTTAGCACGTCTCTGCCACTGCACAGTAGTTCAGATATAAAAGGAAAGTGATTATTGCTCCAAGATTGTGAGAACATTTTAGAATTAAAGCTCATCACATATAATGTATACTTCTATGTGAGAAAGGATCTCTTCAACAAAATACATCCAGTTTAAAGATGTGGAACACTCATTTAACCCTCCCACTGCCTTTATGGGTGACCCCGCGAGGAAAGTTGGTCTGAGGAGTGAGCACCACCTCACCCCTGCCACGTGGACCTCAAGGGATAAACCATCAATCCTGCTCAATGGTCAACTTTCCTCGCGGGGTCACCCCCATTAGGACAGTGGGAGGGTTAATCAATACATTTGCAGTTGTCTCTATAGAAATGAATGTAAGTCGTAGGGGGAAAAACACCAGTGCATCTATTCCAGGGACTAGAAATGAGCCACACCACAGCTGAGCTTCAGACGGCAGGTTTTGGAGTCTTATTTCCTGATATTTGGACATCTCGCCCCAGAGTAATGAACAGCAACACGACTCTCAATCAATCAAAGCTTTATTTATAAAGCGCCTTCCGCAACCCTGTCAGGAAGCCCAAAGCGCTGAACATGGTACAGTTGTAAGTAATTATACTGAATAAAACAATAAAAGAAATTCAAATTACAAAATACAAATTACAAAATACAAAATGTAAATAACAAGATACATGAAACATTCCGGTAAAATACAAATGTGTGAAACACAATTGGATTGAGTGGATGGATTGAGTGTACCAATGAAAACTGTGGAATGGATTCAACATAATAGTTGAATCTACAATACTCTACCACTGACTTACGACTCTGACGTTTTATCTCAACAAATAACACAAGTTTGAAGGAGTTCTGCCATGTGGTGAAGTCGCCAATGCTAACAGTTAGCTTCTACTAGCCTAGATCTGTCAGGCCTTTCAAATCCTAGAGCTTCACCGTTTATTTTCTGTCCGAAGCTAATGCAGGAGATAGGTGTAGGAGACTATTTTCATGTTCATGCATGAAGAGTGGCCGATAATAATCAGAAAAAAACATTTTAAAAATGGGTTTTCTGTGTTCTACAATCGCATTTTACAGTTGGTTAAAATAAAAAAAAACTCCAAAACACACAAATTAATTTCATTTGATCTATTTTAAACACTGCCTATATGAAGCATAATATAGTTCATCTTGAAGAGAAGAACAAACTCCATTAGAGAATGTGTCCCTTCTTTTCTCCTCGACATTTGATTAGCTGGCGGCAGACCAAACATTCCTAATAGGTGTCATGGCAACAACTCAAGTGAGCTCAGTCCTGAAGCATGAAAGCCCAGAAAGCGCTCAGCCAGGAAGGAGCCAAACACACAAAAAGAGTCACATCTAAAGCTCCTAAATTGGAAACATGAACCCTGCAGAGTCCCGCAAAGCTACTGTGTAATCTAAAAGGCAGATATTAGTTCACACTCAACTCCAGCTGATGGTATACTTCTTTTATATTTATGAGGAGCCAATAAAATCTGCAAAGCCACTTAACGGTGTGGAATATGAAAGGAAGAATTACTGAAAGAGATCATTCATTTTTTTATGTCACGTTGTTAAAGAGCGCTATGTCAATAAAGTTGGTGCGATGCCTAACGAGTTGATGAAATTATGATGAGAACAAAAGATCAGGTTTACAATTAGGGTTACATTTATTATACATTTTTATATATTATGGAAATTTTCATAGATTATTTTTCCACTCGGTCAGATATGAAGCTTGGCCTCTAACCCACAAATAAACTCAATTCTGTGTTTTTTTTAAATTCTAGTCTTTTCTATGGTGATATTTATAAAACATGAAAAGAATGTGATATTTTACACAAATATTCACTGAGAAAACTGCAAAAATTTTAAGTAGACTATAATCACACATAACACACTAAATTATATGTTTCTCTCTAACCACGACTTCAATCTGACCTTTGACCTCCCTTCCTGAACCTCCTGGTCACACCAAGACTCCAGCTCCTTGTTGCTCTACTGTAAACGGAAACAAAAGAGGAACCGTCTATGTGCGTGAACTTTTGTGCCAACAACTCACCCGCATTGGCCTCCTGACGCCGCTAAGCAACGCCACCTTCCCCATGAATCTTTAATAGACTACTGTCATCAAGCTTGAGCCATCAATACCAGCATTGCCGAGTCACTTCTTCACAAGCCTGCAGCTTTTCACAAGCAAACACATCTCCTTAATGTTTCAACGTCCTTTAATTCTGAGCCACATGTACTGATTAAACTCTGCTCCCTGTAAAGCGCTGGGTGCTGACAGACTTGAAGAAACAAAAAAGCAAAACCAAACAGTTACAATGAGAGAGAACCCATTTCTCCTAAATAAATAAATCAAATAACACAAACTCGCACAGCCCAGCTCCTCACCTTTCAGATCTCAACCATGGACACAGGGATGGTTTAGTAAATGCACGTCTGCATGGTGCCTGCAGCTATGGATCGTTGGCCTGCCTTGTTTCTGACAGGAGACACTGGGAAAGGAACAACACAAAAGGTGGTCCTGTTAATGAATTATGTGTCCATGTTCAAGTTTGTTGTGTTAAAAACCTAAAACTGATATTAAGGACTTGAAAAGCTACAATAACAACACAGTTTCTGTACTTAAATCTTGAATATTAAAATGTTTCCTATTTGGGTTATTTAGTCATTTGAGACCATGGCTCTTTAACAGGCCTCAGTTTGGGGAATTTGAGATTCATTCTGACTGGACAAACAAGCCGGGTGGGGGGTGGGTGGGGGGGGGGGGGGGGGGGGGGCGTCCCGCAGCGCTCCTCTGTGAGAG